AGGCCCAAGTGGTTCAGCTGGTCAAGAAATACAAGCAGGCTGTCACTCTTGCTATTGGGGATGGAGCCAATGATGTCAGCATGATAAAGGGTAACCTGTGAAGTCATCAATATACAGAGCTGTATTTTCATTACAACTATCCAGCTGGGAAATATGTAGCTGATATTGTGTATTTTATTGTGTATTTTATTTGGTTCCTTTTCTGCCTGCCAGTTGCTCATATTGGTGTAGGTATCAGTGGGCAGGAAGGCATGCAGGCAGTGCTGTCCAGCGACTTTTCCTTTGCCCAGTTCCGTTACCTTCAGCGCCTCCTGCTGGTGCATGGCCGCTGGTCCTACATCCGCATGTGCAAGTTCCTTGGATATTTCTTTTACAAGAATTTCACTTTTACGCTTGTCCAATTCTGGTACGCCTTCTTTTGTGGTTTTTCTGCACAGGTGAGATATATGTATTGTAACTATACTATAATGTAATTTAAGTAGCTTTTGTAATGGGACATAAAGTGTTTATCAATCTCAATGAGAGAAATGCAAAAAAGTTTCAAATGATGCAGGACAAATGAAACAAATAACTTGATTCACATTCACCTTTTCTTTATGTTGTACTTAAATGTTCATTGTGGTTGTTCACAGACTGTTTATGAGGACTGGTTCATCACCTTCTACAATATGGTTTACACAGCTCTTCCAGTCCTTGGCATGTGTCTGTTTGACCAGGTATGTAGATTACAATTAACTATCAGTTTTTGGTTGACTTACATAAACCAGATTATCGTCTCATAGTCAGGTCTCTGTGTCCACTGAGCTTTCTCATCTCTTTCACTAAAACTTGTTTTGTGCAGGATGTAAATGACCGTTGGAGTTTATACCATCCTCAGCTCTACGCTCCAGGCCAGAAGAACCAATATTTCAATAAGAAAGCTTTTGTGAGCTATCTGATTCATGGCTGCTATTGCTCCTTAATCATCTTCTTTATCCCATGGGCTTCCATGAATGATGCAGTCAGAAATGATGGAAAAGACATTGTGAGCCATCCATCTTTTGCTTTCCTGCTACAGACCTGTCTGCTTATTGTGGTGCACACACAGGTGAGAACATTTCATTTCATTTATTTATTTATTTCACACTTGGTCAACATTTTCCACAGTTAGTTCTTTCAAACAAACCAACTACACTTTCTGTCAGTAAAGCACTGCAACCACGTGTGAAAAGGAGCAGGCAGAAGAATTTATTCTTATTAAACCCTGCCCCCTATCTACAGTCCAACTTATATTGCAAGTGGTCACCAAAAGTCAAGGAACAAACTAACATTAACACTTATTTCCAGTCCTAACTCAAACCAAACAACAATTTACAATCAGAATATACCACTCCACATAGTAACAAGGAGAAAAGATAAGTAAATAAAATAAATGAAACAAAAAATAATGGATCCTTATTCAATTAACTCCAATTTCATTCACATTCTTCATATTGAGTTATTGTTTTAGACATGTAGCACTTTTTAAAACAATGTAAATTTATACAACTCTTTAAATTTTAATGAAGAGACTTCCACAGTTGTATACCCCTAACCGTTGGACTCATTAATCTTTGTGTTGTCCTAGCTAGCTGATGCTTAAAATAAAATTTCCTTCTGCTGTCTTCTCCCCCTGAACACATAAAAATACTCTTTGTAACTTAAAAGGCAAAATATTATTTTTAGCCTTAAACATAATTAATAGTGTCCGTAGTTTCACTAAATCTCCTAATTTTAATAATTTTGATTTTATAAATAATTTATTTGTATGTTCTCTATATTTAACATTATGAATCATTCGTATCACTTTCTTCTGTAATAAGTTTAGAGGTTTTATAGTATTCTCATATGTATTCCCCCAAACTTCGACACAGTAACTAAAGTATGGAAAAAACAATGAGAAATATAAAATGTGCATTGTTTTGTGGTCTAATGTCCAGCAAAATCGCTGGACATGGTCGTAGGCAAGAAGTGAAGCAGCACATGGCGGGGAGAAGTGAGGGGGAGAACAGACACAATTTTGCACCGGAGGTTTTCGGGAAGCTTTTATTTTGGTATTTCCGTTGATCCGTACAATAAATTTGCATATTAGCCTAAAACATTTAGATTTAACATTTAGATTTAACATTTAACATTTAGATTTAAATATAATATTTAGATTTAACATTTAACATTTAGATTTAAATATAATATTTAGATTTAATATTTAACATTTAGATTTAATATTTAACATTTGATGAAAAGTTACAAATATTTTACTAAATGTTGTAAAAAATTACTCGAAAAAACATGTTTTTGTAAGGTTTTGAGCTAAATGTGCAAAAATGTTGCCGTTAATTTCAGCATGTTTCACTTTACAAACGGCGCCCCATACTTATGCAGTATATTAGTCTGTTGTAACAGATAGACTTCCATTCCATCTTAGCCAGTCATTTTAATTGTGCACCAGGACATTAACAATAATGTAGTAATAGTACAGTACTACTACAGTAGTAGTAGTAGTAGTAATAATAATAACAATAATCTTCCACTTTTCAGCTGTCTCTTGACACCTATTACTGGACAGCAGTGAACCATTTTTTTGTGTGGTTAAGCACGATAGGCTACTTTGCCATCTCAGTCACCATGTACAGCAATGGCATGTTTTATGTCTTCCCGTCTTCTTTCCCCTTATTTGGTAAGTACATTTACTGCATTTAGTATAGAGGCCACTTTAATGTTAACTTTTTGAAGTTTTTTTCTATTCTAAAATTTTGGTACTTTAAAGAAGACCTGAGTATGTGACTCATGTGATTGTGTCCTTTTTGGATTTTAGGCGCAGCAAGAAACACTTTGAACCAGCCTAATGTGTGGCTCACCATATTCCTGACGTTCCTCCTCTGTATCCTGCCTGTTGTAGCTTTCCGCTTCATTTTTATACAGCTTCGTCCTACCATTAATGACAAGGTAAAAAAAGAAAAGAAAAAACTAAACTGAACACATAAAGCATCTAAGACTTTCTTGTCTTCTATGCACCTTGTACACTATAAAGTAGTATGTAATTTAACTGAGTTTGAATCAATGTATCCATAGTAAAAAAAAGTTTGCATAAAAAAACCCCAAACAAAACAAGCCCATATTTCTTTTTTCTAGGTGAGGTATAAGATGCGTACAGAGGAGTTGACTGCACCTGCACCTCGTCGTCTACTGAGAAGGCGTAGTACTCGATCAGGCTACGCCTTCTCTCACTCCCAGGGCTACGGTGATCTGGTAACATCTAGAAAATTCCTGATAAAACGCCCCCTAAAGATGACAGCTCTGTTCACCCAGACAGACTCTTCCATATTTCAAAATCAGCCACAGCACTACCGCACTATTGCTGAGGAGCCACAGAGTCCTTAGCCTGGTACACAGTACACAGATACTGAAAGACGACATAACTTCATAATTTTCAAGCCAACCTGACACTGAAGACAAACAAAACAGGGTAAATTTAAAATATATGGTGGTTTCCAGAGTCAGCATAAAAACTAATGGTGTCTTACAATGTGTGAATAAGTTTTTATGTAAAATGCTGAGTCGTTATAAAAACAAAATAAATAAAAAAAAAAAACAAAAAAACCCTAAAATTTAAACAGGTTTAACCACGTAAGCCCCACGCCCCCGGTACCGGGGCAAAAAAGAGATCACGTTTAATCGGTTATAACACGGGGTGAGAAATATAAGTCCAGACATGTGTGGTATCCACAGAAACCTCTGAATCTCAGCTAAAATGTCATATAAACCATTTCTAAAACCACCAAACACATCGAAAACACGCCATGATTAAACGAGCAGTTACGTAAATGCGCAGAAGACTGCTAAACAAACAAAACCGAACCGGAAATTCTCCAGACTTCATGTAACTGGCTAAAGAAAGGCTGGTTAGCTTCCAGAGCTATCACTGACTCCACACACCAAGTTTCACCACAATCAGACCAAAATTCACTGAATGAGCCGCAAAAGAAGACCACAAAAACACATAGCGGCGAAAATGCACTAAGACACAGATTGGCTTACCATCCCGATTTCCTCCATTATTTTCACTGGTAGCCGGTAGCCACGTGATTATCAGAAGTTACCACACCTACCTAGCCGCATTAGAGCCGTTTTCCGTCAACAACCGCCATTTTAGACCCACTTATAGACACGTGACTGGACAGACGCCACATGCAGCACATTTGGGCCCACGTGGGTTTTGGCATTGCAACGTCTGATTGGTTGAAGTCACGTGAATGTGGCATTGTTACTTTGATTCTATTGGCTAAAACGATTAAAAAGAGGTGTCAATCATGCAAATTGACCAAAAGAAACCAAAGTTACAGCCCCTTGGAGTTTAAAGGGCCAGAGACCAATTAAATGCTTCATGCGCACCGCAGAAAAGGGCCATTACCATGTAAATGTGTGGTTAATTCTTCAAAAATATATTTAAAAGAAAGCATTTTTAGGCCTGTTAATAAAATTTATTAATTTCTGCTCTTTAATACCTAAAAAATTCAACTGGCACGGTGTCCAATTGTGTGCCAAAATTGGACATTTTTGTACAACATCTGGATATTCATGTATTGTCAGGGCTGTAATTTTTCACTGTTTCACTTTAGAAACATAAGTCTTTGCACAGGTGATCTGAGGCATATTTTTAAAAGGGTTATATCCTAAAAATTAAAATTAAAAATTAGGCGAGGATAAAATATACTTACTTTTTCTGTGTTCCAGTCTCAGTAACCTTGACGCATTAATATCTGCTTCAATATTTACACCTCTGATGAAATCTCACAAGTGTTAGCTTTATTTTGATACCAAGATTGTAAGGACAGAGTTTGTAATTGCAGAGAAATAATCAATTAAATTTGGGCATTACATTTTCGAGCAAAAAAAAATTATAGTATCCTGCTCTATGCATCAAACTGCCCCTTGTTGATAGTGTGTGTGTATGGTGAGTGGCTGATCACCTTAGACAACATGGCTTCATACAGTAGTGTAACAATCATTCTGAGAAAAACATACAAAAACGTATACAAAACACACAACTGCAATGAGTTTGTGTTCCTTTTTTTTTTTTTTATTTTTTTTTAAACTTTTTATTTTGTACTTTTTCCAATTTTATAGTACATGCAAACAAAAATCAGAAAAAAAGAACACAAAAGAAAAAAATAAAAACAAATAAATAAAGGACACCTAATCTGTGGAAGAGGGGAAAAAAAAAAAAAAAACAATGAGGAGAGGTCCCTGCTCTATGGGGCTGAGTGAGTCTTATAAGCTATCCATTTTGTCCACTGTTTTCGGTGTTTGTCAGATTTCAGTCTCAAAGTGTAGGTCATTTTCTCCATTATATATATGTCCTCGATTACATCAGTCCATTCTTCCAATTTTAAAGGGTCACTTTTCAGCTAGTTTTTTGTTATTACCTTTTTGCTTGACAACAACACAATTTTAAACAAGTAATGGTCCTCCTTTCTTACATTTTCCCATATTCCAAAATACATTACTCGTGCCTCACACAGCACAGCACACACATTTCTTTTGCCTTTATTGGTTGTTTTATGTCCTATATGGTGAACTGTAAGGAGCAAAAATGAGAAACTTTGGATTTTGCTTCCAGTTGAAAATCTGTTTTTCCCTTCCGCCCTTCATTTTTACATGTATAGTTGACACACTGTGGTTATTTGCATGAGGATTTTTGTGTGTGTGTGTGTGCTGTTATTCTTTGTTAATAATAACATTCAGTCCTTCATGAATGTGTGATTTAACCTGATACTACAACATTCACAGTGTTCACAGTGTACAGCCAGTCATTGGTCTTATCTCTGTAACTGTTTTTTTTTTTTTTTACCTTTTCATAACCCTATCTTTAAAAACAGGAACTAAAGGTGTAAAGAAACACTTCCAAAACAACAAGTCAGTTATGTATTTTGTCAGTTACAAATCTGGAAAATGTGTCTAAAAAAGGATATATCCATCATTTGTAATCCAGGCTAGCAGATTTCGATTTGGCCTATAGTCATTTACAGCTGTTAATCCATTGGTCTATGCGTCAGGATGGCTTTACCCATTTTCTTCATCAAGTTAAGACTTTGCTCATACTCTGAGTGACAAATTGCACTTTTTAGTTCCAGTTGATCATCATTAGTCACCTGAGCTGCAATACATTTGTTTATGAAAAACAGAAGCATTGGTGGGGCTGCGATAGTGTATGTGTGAGCTTCCTCTTTGCTGAAACAGTTTGCCAGTAGAGCCCTTCAAAATTTACTTTCTCACCTGGGTGATTTTTTACTGCCTTTATCAATCAAGACCAAAGCATTTTATTTGCTGAAAATGTTCAAGAGGTTGTTACAGTTCCTGACTGTATCTTCAGTGGCTTCAAACAGGACAGAACATCTACCTCTTGTGAATCATCCCTCTGCTCCTGGGGTTTCCAATAAATCAGCTCTACCACCATCTGTCTCACGTGTGGTTTCATCCTCTTTATTAGGAAGTGTTAGATTATAAAGCTCAGCCTTCTTTCTGATACTTCACATTCTGGTGTTGTAGATCAACACAGTTTGCTTTATGCACTGTATTCACAAGTTTAGACCACATTGGACCAGCTAATGGCCTCTATCAATAAACTGGCCCTTCAGTTTTACTGTCATTACTGCTAATTCTGTATTGTGCTCCAACAGTTACTAAATTCTAATGGGACACAGAGCAGATTGTATCTTTCCTCACAGACTTCCTTTTAATCTTGACAAATAAAATAACTTATCTATGATATGCCTTTCCATTATTTTGAGATCAGACCGGTAAATGTCAGCAAGCTCCATATTTGGTGACAATCAGTATAACGATACATGCTTTTTTCATGCTTATGAATGAGTCAAAACGTGACCTGAATTTAAGTCAACTGCTCAATTTGAGCATGCGCATCTGGCACGGGGTGTGTTACATACCTGACCGCCCAGGTCGCAACCATAATGCTACCTCTGATTGGCTGAATTTCTTCCCAGTTATTGCTGTTTTACCGCACCTACATCCTACACTGAGTCGCCATCGAGGTCCAAAGATCACTGCACTGTTCAAACAAGCCCTGAGTTGCTAGGTGGAGGGGCATCCCAGCCCAGTTCTTCCTGGATGAACCTGAAATCTCTACTGTAGGCACCTCTCCCACCACTGGGTACCTGGATTGGTACCTAGCGTGGGTTAACTTTGTCAAAGGCGGAAATAAAAGGAAACTTTAAAATCTTAAAAACCTCTTTTTTTCCCCAGCCTGTGCTTGTGTGTGAGCAGGACTTTGAGGACAGAGGAAATCATAATTTTGTTGAGGTATGTGGCTGATTTTCACTTCAGACCGTGGAAGTGTGTTTGATATCCTGAATGTCATTAATAATAATCACAAACAAGCTCACAATTTGAACCCTTGAAGTCTGACCTAGATTTCCGGCCAGGTCAGATTCACAATAGTTTGGACCGATTTAATATTATTGTGAGTGAAGAAATATTAAATGAAACTTAACAAAGTTTGTTGGCTTCTTTTTATGCTTGAAGATTCCATAAATGCATTAGGTAGCATTAGAGGTTAGTGTCTAACCTCTGACTCACTTCATTACTGTTAAATTGCTATTGATTTCACTGTCAACATTTCCTATTCTCACTTTTTCTATTCAGAACTTTACTTTGCAAAAAGAAAACATGATGAAAAATACAAACAGTACTTGTATGTTATAATGAAGACTTAAGGGTGATGAACAAACCTGGTTGACTGGCGCAAACGGTTAAAACAGGAGTGGTTTTATGTCTTTATAGCTTAGTAACACAAATAAAGTCTGGAGAGTGGGTGTACAGTGCAGTGAAATGTATTTGCCTCCTTCTTAATTATTTTTTTTGCACATTTGTCACAGAATAATTTTTTTATGTTAGACTAGGATAACTGAGAATGCAAATGGAGTTTTTAAATGATGATTTTATTTATTAAGGTAAGCTAGCCTATGTTGCAAAAGTAATTGCCCCCTAATCATAACACCAGGTTGTGCCACCCTTGTCAGCAAGAACTGCAATCAAGTATTTGTAATATCTGAGAATGAGTCTTTCACGTGGCTGGGGAGGAATTTTGGCTCACTCTTCTTTACAGAATTGTTTTAATTCATACATATTGGAGGGTTTTTGAGCATGAATGTCATGTTGGTGTGTTTTTGAGTGTGCTTGAACTTCATGGCACAAACTTATGGCTATATTCTCCCTCATTAACATTTTTTTCTAGTAGAATGCAGAATTAATACTTCCATCTGTTACAGCAAGTTGTCCAGGTTCAACAGCCTAGATAACAGCAAAAGCAGCCACAGACCATCATGCTACCACCACAGCAATATGTGACTGTTGGTGTGATGTTCTTTTTATGAAATGCTTTGTTAGTTTTACGCCAGATGTAACAGGATATATTTTTCAAGTAAGCCCACTAAATGTTTTCCCAAAAGTCTTGAAGATTGTCAAGATGTTTTTGGCAGGTTTGGGACAAGTCTTTGTGTTGTTTTTGGTCAGCAATGTTTTTAACCTTGGAGCTCTACCATAGACGCCATTTTTGTCCAGTCTCTTGTTGTTGAATCTTGAACATTGACCTTAATTGAAGCAGGTCAGGCCTGCAGTTCTTAAATGTATTTTTCTGGATTTGTCTGTGGCTTCATGCAATCTCTAAGGAATTTTGCTAGGATGCCCACTTCTGGGAAGGGTCATCATTTTAAAAATTGCATTTTATATTTACTCTGTCTAATTTTCAAATCTTTTTACCCTATATCTATATAGTTCTATTTAGTAGTAATAAATAAAGTATAGATAGATAGATATAGTATGTAGATGATAGTAGTTGTTTACTACCATCATCAGCACTGTTTTGGTGAAAGAATAGTGTCTGTCATCAGTCAGTGGCTATATTCACTCAATATATCAACAAAATAAATAAATAATAAAATTGAAAATAATAGAATTGAACAGATTGCATGTAAAACATTAAGCTTTTATTAAGCTGTCAGAGCTTTTAAGGTTGGTTTTTTTTCTTTCTTTTTTTTACAGTGAATCACAATTCTACTCAAACATGGCCTTCCCTATATTAACTGATTCCCTCCTGCTTTTGCAAGTTTCTCCTTTCACTTGCTTTTTCGATATATGTAAGCCACAAAGGAACAACTGTTTGCCTAGCTACATAGGTCACTGTCATAAAAACACATGCATGCTTTCCCTAGGTTGTAAAACATGGAAATACTGAGATAAAGATGGGATCTGTAGTGTCACGCTTTAACCGGGTACGTGGAAAAGGGAAAAGCGAAGGTAAGCTCTGATGCATGCAGAATTTCTGCTATGCGCTGAATAACTGTTATGTTTATCAGGGTTTTCTTGTTTGAAAATATTCCTGGACTACTGGGTTTTGAAACTTTTGTAAATTTAAGTTTTAAGTATGAATTGGAGTAAACATTTTTTTCAGAGTAGACTTTTTTTTCCTTACCGCTCCTTTAACTTATTGTAAACTCTCGCCCTCCATATTTTATTTTCACAGAGGAGAGACGTTTAAGAGCTAATGACAGAGCTTTCAATTTATCTCATGGCTATGCTGTAAGTATAAAAACAAATCTTATTATGAATATTCATTAAATACCATGGATATAAGAGACTGTTTGAAAGTCGTACTGAGATCGAAAGCACAGATTGCTACTTCACTGCAACATTTACAGACATACTTAAATGCTGTCAATCACAAATGTATCTTTGAGGGGGTTTTTTTTGGGGGGGGGGTTATTTTGTTTTGAAAATTACATACATCTCAGAGACTGATATCTGGAAATTTCCTCTACTTTAGAACAATGCCATCAGGACCTCCAAATACAACATCTTCACCTTCCTGCCGCTTAATTTATTTGAGCAGTTCAGAAGACTTGCTAATGCCTACTTCCTCTTCCTTCTTATCCTTCAGGTATCTCTACAGAACCATCTCTGCATATTGTGCAAACATTATAAAATGTCCATAAGTAATGCAATTTAAGTTTATTTAGCTTGCAGATGATCAAGCTAAATGATCATTGTACTAAAATAGTGTATGTGTGTGTGTGCCCACAGTTAATCCCACAAATCTCCTCTTTGTCGTGGTTCACCACAGCCGTCCCTTTGGTTTTTGTGCTGTCAATATCGGCAGTCAAGGATGCCAATGATGACATAGTAAGCAGAAATTATAAAAATTGGAAACAGAATTGAAATCGTATTTAACTAAAAAAGAATCTCACTCAATATTAGGGAAAAGAAAAAATAAGGAACTAAAATCTGATTTGCAAGCAAACAATGTTTTCTCTTGTATCAAATGAGCAGAACAGACACAAATGTGACAGACAAGTGAATAACCGAAAGGTGGACGTCCTCATGGATGGCCAGTAAGTCTTTGGAAACCCAAATGAAAAAAAGAACAACTTTTGTGTGAAGAATTATGCAGTGTTTGGATTCATTTCTGTTTTATGTCTTTGTTCCTTTTCTCAACAGACTAAAAAATGAAAAATGGATGAATGTTCAGGTTGGGGACATAGTCAAACTGGAGAATAATGAGTTTGTCACAGTAAGTTTTGGGAGGCTATAGCAAAGATTTGAAGAAAGTGAAAGCAATTAAATTCAAAAGCTTCAATCTACTGGGCCATACTTATTGCTTTCATTTCTTAGGCAGACCTTCTGTTGCTGTCTAGCAGTGAGCCCCTTAATTTAGTTTATGTGGAAACAGCTGAATTAGATGGGTGAGTGTGGAGTACTGTGCAAAAACCTGTGTATGTTAGCATAATGACTAATTTCTAACAATGCCTTACATTTCCCTTACCTTTTTCATGTCCTCTTGGTCTCCCCCAGAGAAACCAATCTGAAGGTGAAACAGGCTCTGACTGCAACCGGAGAGTTGGGAGACAACATTGAGGCATTGGCTGCCTTTAATGGTGAGAAGATACAGAAACAGAAACAACAGAAAAAAATACTCTTGAATGAAATTTTTACAGTACATTCCTGTAAATAATGTTTTTGAGGCTATGTCTATAAAATCCCAATTTCAAAAAAGTGATGACACTGTGCAAAAATATACAATGATATGCATTATCATGATGCAACAAAATTCTTCTGCCCTCAGCTGAATGTCTCTATCCAACTTATGCAGAAAGCTAAACATTAAATGGCTTCAGTGAACACTTAGGAGACTGTGTCACATTCTTCGGGGCTTTACTGATTTGCACAATTTGTAAATTCTTTCATTCTTTTGTAAAACTGTAATAACAGAAATAGAGTGTGGTGTATTTAGTCTCCATACAAATACACAAATCGTACATTCAACATTGTTGTCAGCCACTACACAATCTCAACATCAACAATACACTGGCATCACATGTCTAGAAATACAGCTAACACCATACGCTGGTATGTTTCATGCTAACAGGCTAAACAGAGCACCAACAGCTAGCTTACACTAGTAATGTAACAAACTTTTTAAACACAAAAGAAAGTCATCCCTTCACTGAACAAGGTACTAATAAGTGAGATCAATCAATCAAATTCACCACACTTACCCATTATGCCTTGTCAAGAGTAATAGATGCAGGAAAATGGACCTTCTTTGTCAAGGGCTGGGAGAAAAACTCCCACTTGTGCTCCTACATGGTGCTTCCCATGTTAACCCACTAGATAGCAGGCTTTGCCATGAGAAGATCAGGAAAAAAACACATTTACTGACACGTAGATGCAATTACTTACAGAACAATGACTATGATTTGTCATATAACAAACTTATAACATACCTCAGAAATACCCACGAGACAGAATAAAAACAGATCAAATTTTTAAATTGAGACTTTTTACAATTTCATGAATATTTACTAATATTAGTAGCACTGCATTAAAATCAGGCATGGTTCTGTCAATGAAATTACTGCACAAGCTCAGGAACATTTTCAGAAATTGCTTTTTCTGTGGCCAAATTCAAATGAATTTTCAAGTTATGTTTGAAAAATAAAGCCCCATCTTCTGTAATAAAGAGGAGAGTGCTTGTTCAGCAGCAAATACAATTACTGCATACTGTATCAAGTCGTATAGAGGTACATTAGTGAATGGGAAATTGGCAGCTGCACATTAGGAAAGGCACCACTGAGGATAAAAGGTATAACCAGGTTTTAAAACAACATCCCATCCAGATTGTGTCTTTTTCAAATGATAGGCTTTGCATATTTTAGCAGGATGCTAAACCTCATACTGCATGGCTTCAAAGTGGAATAGTTTGAGTGTAGTTTATCTTGCTTACCAGCTCACCTTTTTTTTAAATAAATGCTGACTTCTCTACTCTCCTTATTCATTCTTTTATTTCTTTCTTGATACTCTAAATATACTTTTATGAGGAAAGCTATCACTCACAATGTCCTTTAACAGTAACCTACTGTACATAGACTAATAATTACCTGTGCTGTAAAGAAGAAGGGGTGGATCTTTTTGACCAGGCAAATTAATTATAACAGAAATAAAAGGAAGAATTTCAAACTAAAGCAAACATTTTATTCCAGGCTTGCAAGGGCCTTTCCAACCATTGGTGCCCTAGCTAGTATGTCACACTTTTTCCTGCCCTATGAGGCCTATGCAAGTTGCTCCCATCACATTCAAAATGACCCAAAAATTATGTTAGAGAACTTAAAAGATTGACACATTGAATTTGAATTGTATTCTGTGAATGTATTTATTTTGAGTATTTTTTTTAATTTCTGCAAACAGCTAGGCTTAAGGAAGTGGAGCTATATGTGAGCTTATTCCCTTGAAACCTGGGAACTTTAATCCAAAAGCTGTTGCTGACACCTCTGTTTCTCAGGTGAAGTGCGATGTGAACCTCCCAACAACCGTCTGGACAAGTTCAAAGGGACCCTGACAATGAACGATGACATCTATGCTTTGGACAATGACAAAATGCTGCTCAGAGGCTGCACTCTCAGGAACACTGAGTGGTGCTTCGGTTTGGTAATTTTTGGAGGTATGCTAGCTCGCTAGTAGTACTGCAGTTGTGTACAGTTTGCAATGGACAAGATTCTTTTTGGATTTAACCTTTATGATTTACTCTGATAATAATGTAAATACACAAAGTAGAGGATGGATGGGCCTCTTGAGTAAAGTGTGCGAGGGCATCCAAAGGGTGCATGTGTTACACATTAGACTTGTTAAAGTGTCCAGCTTTTGAAAGTGAAATAGCCTAACTATTTATATTCACCTGCATTGTAAAACCAGTTGTAGTGGACCTATATAAAATGCTATTTTCTGTTATTGTTACATTTTTTTAGCACAATTTATTAGCTAAATTAGGAATTTAATTTGGAAAGAATTTAACCTCTGAATCTTCCTTCTGACCAATCAGACTATAGAAGAATTAGCTTTAATGTGTCGCACTAACTGCCATCTCAGTTACTGTTTTGTCCAGAAATAATTTGTGAGTACATCTATCAATTGGCACATCTCTTTTTGAGGTACAGGCTATTATGGGACTCACAAAAAGTCTTTCTGAGAATCAGCTTCAACCAAATTCACACATTTGTTAGAGGTTTCACAGTTTCTATTATAGAGGTGAGGGTCTCTTCCTTGTACTAAAGTCTACTACAGTGTGTTGTGTAAAAGCAAAAAAATCCCTGTATTTCTTTTACTACTTTCTCCTACTACTAAACAGTCTGTAAACCTTCTAAAAACTGTAACTGTCACACCGGTATTGTCACCAATGTGTCTCAACATGACAACATGAACCTCTACAGGTCCTGACACTAAGCTGATGCAGAACAGCGGAAAGTCAGTATTCAAACGGACCAGCATTGATCACCTGATGAATATCCTTGTATTGTGTGTGAGTTTATAGACACGTACCTTTAACTGTTTTAAAGATGACTCATAATATATATTACGTTCATAAAAACATTAATTACTCACATGCAGATTTGTGATCTCTTTACTCTATCAGATCTTCGGTTTCCTGGGATTTATGTGTGCCATTATGGCCATTTTAAATGCATTCTGGGAAGCAAGCGAGGGCTCTTTGTTCACTGTGTTTCTTCCTCGCGAAGCGGGCATTGATGCTCATCTCTCATCATTCCTCACCTTCTGGTCTTATGTCATCGTTCTTAACACAGTGGTACCAATTTCTCTCTACGTCAGGTAAGTTTCAGTACAGAAAAACCTTGACAATTGTTTCATGTTTTGACCAACTGACCAATTTTTGCTACAATATTAGCATGGAAGTCATTCGTCTGGGAAACAGCTTCTTCATAAACTGGGACAGGAAGATGTACTATCCTAAGAATGATACTCCAGCTCAGGCAAGAACCACCACACTCAGTGAGGAGCTAGGCCAGATTAAATACATCTTCAGTGACAAGACTGGCACTCTGACACAGAACATCATGACTTTCAACAAGTGCTCCATTAATGGAAAAGCTTACGGTGAGCAGCTTTGCTTGTGTAAAAATTAGTGAGGCAGACGGAAACAAGCATTGGTTGAAAAAGTGATTTTTAAGGTATATTTATCTTCTATTAAGGGGACCTCTATGATTTCTCTGGACAAAGAGTGGAAATTACAGAGGTGAGAGGAAAACAGATGATTACTCTGTTTTTGAACTTTGTTTAAAGAAAGTATTGATCCAACTTTGTTGTTTTGGCTTTTCTTGCAGAGGACAGAGAGAGTGGACTTCTCCTGGAATAATCTGGCTGATCCAAAGTTCAGCTTTCATGACCACAGTTTGGTGGAGATGGTGAGAAGTGGAAACCCTGAGACTCAGGAGTTCTTCCGCTTGTTATCCCTGTGTCACACTGTCATGCCTGAGGAAAAGAAAGAGGGTGAGGGGTCCCCTAAAAGACATCTTTTATTTAATAAAACTCTTTAAAAGCCATTGATGGCAGAACTGCTTTGCAGCAAATGTCCTGATAATTGAATGTGTTTTTTTTTAATAGAACCTAGTCTTAAATAATACAGAGTGACTGTTTTTCTTTTTTTTTTCATCGCCACTATTACTATTTAAGGACAAGTTCTCCGTTATATGTGTAGGGCATATAAAAAAAAAAAACAAAACCCAACAAATTGACTTTTATAGTCCTTAAATGCACAATTTTCACATTTTCACTTACCACTACACTAATATTGTTTATAATGTTTATGTTGTAGGAGAGCTCAATTATCAGGCTCAGTCACCTGATGAAGGCGCTCTGGTGACTGCTGCAAGAAACTTTGGATTTGTGTTCCGATCACGCACACCAGAAACCATCACAGTCATAGAGATGGGCAAACAAGTCCTCTACGAACTTCTGGCTGTTCTGGACTTCAATAATGTGAGGAAGAGGATGTCAGTGATAGGTGAGATAAAGGGGCAGCAAGATGTTTAATTTCTAAAGTTTCTTTTTATCACAGAGAAGATATTTATTAATTTTCTTTAATATTTTATTAATTTTCCGATTAACCTCCTAGGACCTGCCGTCCACATATGTGGACATCACATTTTGGGTTACTTAGACCAAAATACTCAATTCTGCTCTACAAGGGCCTGATATCCACTTACGAGGACATTATACTGCTACTGTTCCATCGAAATTTTAAATGAATATTCTCATATGTGGCTCTCATTTTTCTTAGAAACTAAAATTAGGTAAAAAAAAAAAAAATCTGCTAATTCGTTGTTTTTACATTTATCAGGCCCCAATCAGCCCAAATATCAAAGAGAAATTAAAAATGCATGCCGTGGAAGAGTCCGGGTCTTAGGAGGTTAAAGATCTATTTACATAATATTATGATTAAAAATATAATTTAAAAATATTGTCTCTCCATTCAACTTTTTATTTTATAACCTAGGACCAGCTGCTCAGTACCTACCTGTGATACATTTCTGAATAACATAATTGTAACTTTCCCTGTCATTTACAGTGCGTGGCCCAGAGGGGAAGTTGACTCTATACTGCAAAGGTGCAGACACCATCATCTTGGAAAGATTAGACCCCTCCTGTAACAAACTGATGAAGCTGACCACAAATCACCTCAATGTGAGCGATCCAAAACTTATACCAGCAGCTTGAAGCTAAAGTCAGTAGTATTTTTTTTTAATTAATTTCATTTATCAAACAAAAATAGGAGTATGCAGGTGATGGCCTCCGTACACTGGCTTTGGCCTACAAGGATTTAGATGAGAGCTACATGAAAGATTGGACACAGCGCCACCATGAGGCCAGCATCGCCATGGAGGAACGTGAAGAAAAACTTGATGAACTTTATGAAGAGATAGAGAAAGATATGATGGTTAGTCCAAAAACCCTTGCCATGTTGCTAGATAGACCGACCACAGTTTGCTGGTTGATTGCCTGTGAGTACTTTGGCAGAAATGATACTTGATTTTCCACTAGAGTTACAGTTAAATGTGCATCTTTAACTATCATTTGCAACAAAAGCAAAGGATGGCTTCATTGCTTTACTTTCTGCAGCATCAGTTTAAATGATAACTACATTTGTGGCTTTAGTTGTTGGGAGCAACAGCTGTGGAGGACAAGTTGCAAGACGGTGTGCCACAGACCATTGAGCAACTGGCTAAAGCTGACATCAAAATATGGGTGTTAACTGGAGATAAGCAAGGTCAGTGTCAACATACTGTGTAATCTATTTAAGCCACTCATTTCAAAATGGATAAATAATACTGCCATATGATATACAGTTAGAAACATGTATTACACCAAAGTGACTGAGATTTTTTTTTGAAACAGAGACAGCAGAAAACATTGGCTATTCCTGTAACATGCTAAGAGAGGAGATGAAGGATGTCTTCTTTGTTTCAGCAAACACTGCTGAAGGAGTCAAAGAGGAGCTACTGTGAGTCTATTAGAAATTTAAACATACTTAAAATAACTAAGAAAGTTATGACCATTATTTAATTATGAACAAACTGACACATATTTGAAGCTTTTTGTTACCGTGCTTTCAAATAAACAGCCCATAAAAAAATAGAAACTGTCATCTTATTTTTTAACTAACTATCATAAGCTAATTCTAACATAAAAAAATAAGTTACGTAAAAATCTGACTTAGGATGAAAATAATAGTAATGAAGAAAAAGAAGAAGATGGGTTAAGAGTTGTAAGACTTTAAGGTTTTTTAAAATATATTTAAAATAGTTTATTCTGTCCAAATATTTTCAGGAATGCTCGAAGGAAAATGTGTCCAGAAGCAGCAGAGGAGCCATCTGTGACTACATCCCGCGGAGGCCTGTTTTGGGTTGAGAAAATGGAGACTGTGCAGGATGAGAAGGTGGATGGAGAATATGGCCTAATTATAAATGGACACAGTTTGGTAAGAAGCTGCTGAAGCCACAAGAATTGTTTCTTGTGTTGTTCCTTCTCACTTGTGCTTCCATGTATTAATCACCCAATGTTATGTTTGAAATAGATTTTATATGTGTATAGAAGGTGCTTAACTTGAGGTATGACTTATTCTGGTTGTGATATAAGCTGCCACCTGTCTGCACATGGACCGCTCAAGTATCTGATTCTGTTGAGAAATTGCTCTCCATGCCTGGATGAGTGCAGCCTGCAGCTGAGCAGCGATCATCGGTTGTGGCTGCCTCTGATAAACACATCCAATAGCATGTTAGAGGCAAGTTTAATAGGAGACATATCAGGACAAAATTCTGGCCAAAAAATTGTCTGGTTATGCTCCTGATCCTGAACAGGTTGTGATACACTGGCTGAGTTGTGGCGGGGGTAGTCCTGTAAAGTCAGCCACAAACAGGATGCTGCTGCTAGAATGACACAAGCTCAGAATTACTTCATCCTGGTACTTCTACTTGGTACTTCAGCTTGCCAGTAGTATAACCTTAGTCAGATTTAGCCAGTCGCAGCATGACAAACGTGTTACATTCACTGTTTTGTGTGTGTGCTCTGAGACCAGTAGTTTAAGAATGCAGTAAACTGCACCAATTCTGAAGTGTGCAAGTAATTAAAACGAGTCATCCAGATCTGAAACCTACCTACTCAATTTTTTTTAAGTGATTAAAATGAGAAATTTCCAGAATGTTAATTTAAATGTAACTAGCATTAAACGTATACACTTTGGAATTTAATATTTTTATACTACAATGATTATTCAAATTTACCTGCCTTAAGAGACTTTCTTTTTGGTGTCCATTTTGAGGTGATAAGGTTGTGCCAGGGAGGCTTGGCAGATGACCTCATTGCACTACTGTAATCCCTTCTTCTCTTCATCATCAGGCTTTTGCACTGGAGAAGAACTTGAGGTTGGAGCTGCTGAGGACAGCATGCATGTGTCAGACAGTGATTTGCTGCAGGGTCACTCCTTTGCAGAAGGCCCAAGTGGTTCAGCTGGTCAAGAAATACAAGCAGGCTGTCACTCTTGCTATTGGGGATGGAGCCAATGATGTCAGCATGATAAAGGGTAACTGAATTTTTGCTACAACTAACCAGCTGGGAAATATGTAGCTACTGTTATTGATCCTGGCCGTTTTATTTCTTCCTTTTCTGTGTGTCAGCTGCTCATATTGGTGTAGGTATCAGTGGACAGGAAGGCATGCAGGCAGTGCTGTCCAGCGACTTTTGCTTTGCACAGTTCCGTTACCTTCAGCGCCTCCTGCTGGTGCATGGTCGCTGGTCCTACATCCGCATGTGCAAGTTCCTTGGATATTTCTTTTACAAGAACTTCACTTTTACCCTTATGCATTTCTGGTACGCCTTCTTTTGTGGTTTCTCAGCACAGGTGAGATATATGCATTGTAAATGTATAGTGAAATGTAAATGTTTATATGCAGTTTGAGAAAACAGAAGGAAATATAGTAAGGAAGAAAAATGAGCAAAATAACAAAAAGGCCAGACAGCCAGACTGCAGAAAAACATGGATATACCGGTCAGTTGCTGATTGGCTGCTGAAGCCCTGTTTTGGACAGGTTAGAGTGCTCAGTTATCGGTTTATGCTAGCATCTTGTTTAGCAAGCTGCATTCATGGACTGTATAGCTGCATTGCACAGACACAGCAAATCATTTATCCGACTATAATTTAAATGGGTGATTATTATCACAACTCAGGCTATCCTGAATGGTTGCCATGAAGGAGGATGCAGGCTGTAAACACCATGCTGTAATGCATTTTAATAAGGTACACTATGGGAATTTACTTTTTTGACCCAGCTTCAAGGATCTACAGTTTTTGGCCCTTTGTTGCATTGGCTTTCTTTTCAGCCTTAGAAGTTTGCCATTTGCATATAATATAAACTTACCCAAAACAACACAAAAACAAAGAAATAGAGAGAATTTTAAATAAATAAAGGTAGAGCTGAAACTAAACTTTTCACAAGCAAAAAGCAAAACTCTGTAGTCAGTCATGGTGTGTTAATTATTTATCTAAACACTGTTGTAGTTTTTGTGCTGGGAGATCTTTTTTTAATGATTTATCTCTATCTCAGACTGAAAACCAGTTTCTCACCAACAATTCCAGGACAAATGTATATAAGTGAATTCATATAATTTCTTTAATGCTACATTCATGCATATTCTGGTTATCTACAGACTGTGTATGACGAGTGGTTCATCACCTTCTACAACACAATTTACACAGCTCTTCCTGTCCTCGGCTTGAGCCTCTTTGAACAGGTATGTGTAGCCAGCGTAGACTGGTAAGTCTAAATATCCCACCTTAAATTTCTTTCACATACAAGGACGAGGGGAGCAAGTGAATCAGCGCTCAGGGCCCAGAGACTAAGCAGGTCCTAAATACACCATTTATTCATAAATATACACTATTCCAAAAAAATTATTCAACATTTCTCACACACTGAGGTGCACCTCTGCCCTGCTGTCGATTACACACGTCGCCTCCCAATATCGTTCTTCTTGCTGTTGGGACTGGGTCGCTGTGTTACGCTGGCTGGTCCGTCGCTAATGTCCCGTCGCACCCCACAATCAGGCAGGCGCTGGCTTGCATGTGTTTCTTCCTTCCTCCTCTCTGAGCTCACCCTCTCCTCTAACAAGTTTGTTTGGTGGCTAATATCCCGCCTCAGGGCACGCCCACACTTCAACAAGTGCCTACTATTGTCCGCCTAGTCCACACTGGATTAAAAGGATATCGTGCAACAACACTAAAACATGCAATATAAATATCAGAATAAAACCATTCAAATAAACTCAGTACTCTATGCACCAATACACACTATGATCAAAACAACATAAACCATTAAACAAACACAAATTTCCACTGTGTGACATATGCAGCAGAAAATTATTCACCATGTTTAGGTTTTTTTTTAATGTCATATCCCAGTGCCTGCATAAACCAGGCTTTCTCATCTCTTCCTTTAAACCCTGTTTTCTGCAGGATGTAAATGATCGCTGGAGTTTACAGCACCCTCAGCTCTACACTCCAGGCCAGAAGAACCAATACTTCAATAAGAAAGCTTTTGTGAGGTGTGTGATGCACAGCTGCTACAGTTCCTTGATCCTCTTCTTTATTCCCTGGGCTTCCATGCATGACACAGTCAGAGATGACGGAAAAGACATTGCCGACTATCAGTCGTTTGCTTTACTGGCACAGACCTGCCTGCTTATAGTGGTGTTTGCACAGGTAAGAAATACAACTCTTGTTGTCAGAAGCATTATAGCACGCTTGGCAATGACATATTAGCCTTGGAATAAAAGAAAATGACAGCGACGTCGCAACACTGTTCGTCCTCTGTTTCTGTAATATTTTGCACTACAAATCAGTGAACAGCTTTTTAAATGTGTAAACATATATTTGTGGGATTGCCTTTTTAATTTATATATGTATGTATCCCATACCACAGTATAAAATTATACTCATCTCAGTCACTGAACACATTTAAAAACAATCATTTTTTTCAGCTGTTTCTTGACACCTATTACTGGACAGCAATAAACCAATTATTTGTGTGGGCAAGTATTGCGGTCTACTTTGCCATCACTTTCACCATGTACAGCAGCGGCATGTTTTTGATCTTCACGTCTGCTTTCCCCTTCACTGGTAAGTAGATCTGCCATGGAGGCTGCTTGCTGTGGTCCACTTGATTTTTGAGAAATTAAACCATATCAAGTTATTTGGCTGATTGATACAGTGTAAATAGGTCAGCGTTTCCACGTATTCCATTTTTTTGTGGATTTAGTGTTTATCGCTTACATATGCACATTATAATGCTGTAACTTACAACAATTCTTTTACTTTGTTTTTAATTGCTGGTCCAATATTTGTTTGGATTCCAGGCACAGCAAGAAACTCTTTGAACCAGCCTAACGTATGGCTCACCATATTCCTGAGTTCGCTCCTCTGTGTCCTGCCTGTGGTAGCATTTCGTTTCATTCTCATACAGCTTCGTCCTACCATCAATGACGAGGTGAGAAAAATATTAGATAGACATTAAAGCCATCTTGTCTTTTAGGCATCTTATGTGTAGGAGTTGGTGGACCGTAAATGAGGATGTGAACTGATGTAATGTTGTGCAAAAAACTAAATAAATATTAAAGTCATCTAACTTGTTTCTTTCTAGGTGAGAGCTAAGGCGCGAAAAGAGGCATTGCCAGCACCTGCTCCTCGTCGCACACTGAAAAAGCGCATCACCAGGCGGTCAGGCTATGCTTTCTCACACTCTCAGGGCTACGGTGCTCTGGTAATGTCTCAAAAATTCCTGCTGAAAGGACACATGAGAAGACTAGCTCTGTTTGACCACAGAGATTCTCCCATGGTTCAAAATCAGCCACAGCACTACCGCACTATTACTGAGGAGTCAGAGTCACAGAGCCCATAGCCTGGAAGTTTGCAGGGACTGAAGCACTTCATATATATATATATATATCATAATTCTGAAGCTGAATCAACAGTCACGAGAGGATACACAGGGTAAATTCTGCTTTCCAGGTCAAACTTTTACACTTAAAACTGAGTCAGTATAAAAAAAATCATGGTGTTTTACAGTACTGTGCAAAAATCATGCATCAATCCTCAAAATGGGAACTAGGTGCAACAGTTTTTTTAAACTTAAACACAAATACATGGAAATACACTCTATACAGCAAAGGGTTTGTACACTTCTAACAAGCTTGAAAGTCAATATCTGTATGACCACCTTTATTCTTCAGCATTGCCTTAGCTCTCTTAACCAAGCCTTCTTGTAGTTAAGTCATCTTCAGGAATAGTTCTCCAATCTGGACATTCAAAGCTCTTCTTCTCCATCAAGATGATCTCACACTGTCTAGGTCTGTGCTCCAATCTATGATTGGTTTTGTTGTTGTTGTTGTTGTTGTTGTTGTTTTTGATACTCTGACAGTGTGTTTCACATCATTTTCATACTGGAAATGGTGGCTCAAAATGTGACGGTACTTTTCTATGTTCATAATTACATCAGTTGTCAAAGGTTCCCACTGGCACTGGTTAAAATCTATCCTCAAACCATCACAGAGCATCTACTGTGTTTTACAGATGGCTGTAGACCTCTTTACTGATTCCACTGTGCATATTGATGACATTTAGTGATACTGATACTGATTACATTTGGATTCATTAATCCATAAAAGCTGTTGTCACTTACTAAATTGAGTAGTTTGGCATAGATTAGCCTTTTCCCACCTGTTTTCCTTTCTTAACAAAGGCTGCTTGAGAGCCAATCTTACACTGAGATCATTTCTGATTAACCTTTAGTGAACAGTGGATGGATCACCTGAAGAGCCTGAGGTCAGGTCTTTGGTGGGTTTTCTCCCCTATTTCTTAAGTTCAGGATTTTCAGGTACTGTTCATGTGTCATATAGTTGGTTGACCTGTCACTTCTTCTTTAGTCCACCATTTGTCCAGGTTCATTCAGTTAGTTTTTTTTTTTTTTAAAAAAATCATTGGTCAGTGTTAACTGGCAAACAAAATGAACAAAAATATTCGTCTGAAAATTGTCAGGCACAAGGACAGGACTGAATGGGTGAAAAAGCAAAGAAAAACTTTGAAAGAGCATCAGAAAGCCTGGGGAATTATTGCTCAAAACATTTCAAATTTATTTTTTTTAAATTAAGAATCATATGGTATGATTGATTCAAAGGTCTTAATTGAGCCAATGTTGGTTTGGTAAAAAGGCTTTATGTTTGATCTGTTGAAAATATGTTAATGTTAACCTGAAATTAGTTAAAAGAGACAGAAAAATGTGACATTCTTCTTGGTTTCTGTCCTACGTTGTTTTCTTTTTGTTTATTTTAAAATGTTGAACTTGCCACCAGCTGAACTGAAACAACTGGATTATTATACTACTTATCTTTACTGCATGTTTTTTCTCAGGTGAAATGTCACATGTTAATCTGAACAATTATCAATTGGTGATTTAATTTGAATTGAAGTCTATTATACTGTTTTCTTTTTAGTTATAATAAATTTTTACATAAAGATATTTGAACATTGTTTTATTGTTCTTTTCCTTATTATCTATTTGTTCATTTAACATTTGGTTCTTGATTGTTTAGGCACTAGTTTAAGCTCAGCATCTTCCAATTACAGCCAGGGGTCAGTGTTGTCTCTGTAACTGTGTGTTCACATTTTCACAACATTCGAAATAGAGCCTGCAAAGGCTGAAGTGTCATACTGGGGAAAGATCAGGGGTCACCAGGCAACACATTTGAATTATAAAATCTACAAATTTTGTTGCCTGTGACTGAATTTTTCTCTTCAATAAGAGTTTTTGTGACATGGGAGGAAAGATGGGAAGAAGCAAAAATACACACTCGTGCAGTTTTGTCTGTCAGAATGAAGTGACACCTTAAAGGCTGTTTAAATATACAAGTACTGTAGATTTATTGAAACATGCATGCAATAAAACTATATGCACACACAGTTATTGTATCAGAGAACAGAATTGTCAGGATTTGCAAGAGGCCCAAAAATGTGCCAATTTAAAAAACAAATTCATAACCTGACCTTGTTTACGAAGCACAGATTCACACAGATTCTTTTGCAATATGTGTGCAGCTGTGTGTATTGTCCCTCACAATCACGTATTTCACTAACACTTCCCATTGTACACAAACACAGCTGCATTCATCTCACAACTGCAGTGTCCTCTGAGACGGCGAGCAACGACCTCACTGACAGAGGGCTGTTCCAGTGTGGCACAGATCCAGAAGAGCTTTTAGTTGGCTTATAAAGAAACAGGTCAGTTTGTACTGCCTGGGGCTTTATGGAGCAGTGCATTTCTTTTTAAACATAGAAACCGAGGGACTGCATAGAAGACCAAAAATAAGTAGACAAGAAACATGTAGGCCAATAAAATAATTATTAAAGCCACTGAGTGAAGACATGACGAATAAAATTCTTATAAATTAAAATATTTTGAAAGTCTCCATGTTAAATTGTATTTTAACACTGGAAATCAGTTTGTATTACACTGATAAAACTCTGCTCATGTAGCTTCCTTCCTTTCCACTTTAACCCACACTGACTGCTCCTCCTTTCGTGGCCATGCAGCGCAGCCAGCATGCTTGACAGTCCAGTGAAGGTCATCGGAGGATCTCACTGTACAGAGCAGGGAGAAGCTCTTGCATGTTATATTATTAATAGCCTGCATGTATGGCACACCCTAACTATGACATGGCATTATGACTATTAACTTGGTCATTCTTGCATTTTGGAATAACTTAGAAATTGACCCTTCGTCCCATATCTTTAAATAATCACGTAAGAATAATAAAAACCAGTAGTAAAGCATCAAAAGAAGCAGGGTAAATCCTTTACCCCATTAATATTTATTGAGCCAGACATAGCCAACAGTGCTGGTTTAAAATGGTCTAAAATGGAGGAAAGAAAAGAAAGTGGAGTGAAGGGAAAATACATACATTCAAAGAATTTGTTAAAAACAGTGAGTTATAAAAACAGAACAGACACCTGCATACAACCCCCCCTCGTCTTACTGGTTGGCTTCTGTAAGAAGAGACAGTCTGAAATTCAAGAGAAAGAATTTCACACTTGGCAGTCCAACTTGAACTAAGAATTGTTATGTGGTAGAGCCAAGGAGACAGTGCTCTGGTTTATGTTAAGAACAACTTTTAAGTGTCTGAAGACATATTCGCTTAAGACAAACCAAGCATATCTGAATTTCTGAGTGTTCTTTGCTATCATACTCAAGAATCAATATGGTTATGGCATTTATATTTTAAAAATTGCTGAGCTTTGCTGAGCAATACCACGGATTTAAATCTGTGGTATTGTTGTGGTTTAAATCAGCTTTTTACGTACTTCTGTTATTTCAGAGTCAATGCTGTTCAGGTCTGAAGGCTGTGTATTTAAAACACACTGATTTTCAAATGCTTTAATCGTGGAAAGAAACCATCTGAAATCATTTCTAGTGTATTCAAGAAGGTGGGATCAGTAAATTCTGAACTAAAGAAATCACTTTATGTGATTGGGGGTTCAGTAAAACTACGTTCAACTGGTTGGACTGTAACCCTGCAGGTCATTCCCTATCCAGAGCACATGAATATACTTCACAGGGGAACATAAATATAACAGCTGACTAACCATTTGAGACTGTTGATTTGAAGGCTTTGTTCAGTCTAGGCAGTCTAAATATGTTAAGAGCCTGAAATTGTTTCCAGATTAGACTGGTGACTCAGTGTTAAGACGCCAGGCTTACAGGAGCTCAAACAACATTTTAATGGTGGCTGAAGTGTTTAGCTATTTGACAAATACTGATACTCACAGCAGGTGAGTAAAGAGGCTCATGCAGAGACAGAAAGAGATCTGAAATGAGTTATCTATAAGAAGAGCCTAAGTCAAGGGTGTCCAACTCCAGGCCTCAAGGGCTGGTGTCCTGCAGGTTTTAGATGTGTCCTTGATCCACCACAGCTGATTTAAATGGCTAAATCACCTCCTCAACATGTCTTGAAGTTTTCCCAGAAGCCTGGTAATAAACTAATTGATTCAGGTGTGTTTTGACCCAGGGTGATATCTAAAACCTGCAGGACACTGGCCCTTGAGGCCTGGAGTTGGACACCCCTGGCTTAAGTGGTGTCACTTGCAAGCCTTGTATCTAAATAAAGGATTAGCCTTAACAATAAAAGGTACTCCAACCCCCAGCTGGCATGTTAGCACAAGTGAGGGAGTGTGCTCCAAAATTGTGCATGTTGTAAAATGTATCTCATTTATTTGCAAAAGGTTTAACTTAAAGATAATTTTTCCTTCCACTTTTACTACATGTCTACATCAATGTAAACCTAGAGTCTGCAGTATGAATACATCTTCTGGTAAATTTGGGTCAAAGAGGCAAAGGTTTCCCTTTTGAAATAGAAGACAACAGAAATCACGTGACTTAGAGCTGGGCAGAGTCCTATTGATTTCATTTTCAGTTGGTCAAAGAAGGTATTGCTTAAATATGATGAACATGATGTTAACTCTGCAAAGGTTCAATATCCAAGCCAACATTAAGTAATAATCACTTTGGACTGACATGAGCTATCCAAATGTACAGTTCACATTTCATAGACATTTACAAGTGGATGGAGCAAAGCAAGTGCTTGTGATTGTAAGATTGGAATTTGAGCTTTTTGATGGCTTCCTTTCCAATCACATTAAACTCTGTGCTAATGAGAATAATTGTTAAATCTTTTGTGAGCAATTCTTCTGCATGACTTACTTTGAGTTTGATTTGACAATTAAATGAGCACTTAAAATCTAATTAAATGACTGAAGTGGGGGCATTGCTTCTGTACTGCATTTTAAATTTCAGTGCTTACATATAATTTCATACTGTTAGATTATTTCACAAAACATCAATTCTGCTGCACAGAATAGGTAACTAACAGGACTGCATTTTGGCCTGTATTATAGGCAGATTGGTCACCATCCACAATTCCTAGACCAGAAGATCAAAAACATTTCTTTCCAGATAGAGCAGAGTCACCTTCAGCTCACTGCTGAATTGAGCTGACAAGCTGGCATGAAAATATCCCCGCTAACGATGCTTTCCACTGCATGAGACACGTCTGTGCCAGCTGGACTCGAAACAAGGTCAGTCTTTGCCAATGGTTCCCAAAAAAAAAAAAAAAAAAAAAATTTTGGGGGTGTTTTGAAGTTTGAAGGGTTTTTTTTTTGGTGCAATAACTTCAAAAACCAACTGCATCTGGTTTGGTCTGTTGCAACTGCTGTAAATGATTAGACAGCAAAACATATCCTCATATGTTAGCTCTTTGTTAAAATAAATAAAATGGTGTTCTTCAAATGTAGTGCTTAAGGCACTATTTTCTTAAATGTGTATTAAAGCATTTAAAGAGTTTTGAATAAATTTACATGCTTAAGAAACATTCAGGAATGAGATTTAAGATTCGTTTATTTAATAACCATCTCCACAATAACCAACATTAAGTAGCATCATCACAATATTTCATATCAGGATACAATGATAGAATCTGAGACAAAGGCTATATACACACACACTACACGATTAAGAACCAAATGATGAACCAGATAACTAGTGAATAATTTTCTCTTAAGATAAGTAGCTAATCAAATTATTCAAAAGACACGTTTGATGCATTACAACACAGTAGAAAATCATTTTCACAAGGCACATTTATTAACAACAATGGGACTGTCTTGCATGCAAATAGTCCCATGAGATAAAAGCAGCATTGAAGTTACAACCATCACAGTTTAGTGGTAAACGCATTAAGAGTACCTGATGTAACAACGATCGTACGTAACAATTATTGCTGTATTTATTGCTTTAGTAAAATTTAATTATGTGCATTTATCCTTATAGACAGGCATATTCAAGCAGCATATGGACAGTAATCTCTTCATTTACGCTTGCATTAAATCATCCTGTTAAGGAGGAGTAGTTTGCATAAT